TGTACCAAAACAACACTCGTTCAGCTAAGAGGTTGTTATAACTTCGCGAAGTTTTCTTGAAAAATTAATTTAGCCACTGTTTTGAAGAACTGGAATCAGCGGTTCTGTTTGAACCAAAACAAAACCTTAAAATTAATATGAGGAAGTCACAAATTTCTATACCAAACCATTGATATATTTATGAGGTTGCCGGATGAATTTTGTTAAAATTTTAACATATCCATATATACAGGGTGTCTGTAAAAGGTCTTTACAAAAACATACCACATATTCCTTAGACCAAAATAAGTCGATTTAAGTAAAATTACCTTAGTACAAAGTTGCTTCGTTTGGGCTCCAGAGGGCGGGCCTTGAAGTTACAATTTTTAAATCGTTTTTCCCATATAAATTTAAAACGGCATATGAGATTTTGCTGAAATTTGGTATATTGGTAGAGTTTTATGTGGCAAAAAAAATGGTATTAAAATTTTGTCCGATAATAATACATAGGCGTAGAACTTGATTTTTTAAATAATTACACCTTTAAAAATTCTACGCCAATGGAAGAAAAGGATTTTGAGTATGAAATTTAGATTGCGCAACTCATTTACTTTAAAAAAGGTACTCTTGATAAGACTCGATTACTCTCATGGTTTTCGCTAAATTTCTGTTTTAATAATTTAGAGTGTATAGGTTTCACAAAAATATTTATTTACAACATAATCAAAATAGAGACTTTACCAAAATTATTCAAAATGTTCACCATTTTCACGCATACAAAGATTTATACGTCGAAGAAAATTAAAATGTATCCTTTCCATAACTTCTTCATCATCTCTAAGATTGTTTATTGCATCTTGAATACGTTGCCAGAGTTGTTCCTTATTTTCTACAGGTTCAATGTAAACTGTAAAAAGTAATCCATCGGTGTTAGATCTGGGGAACGTGGTGGCCAGTTTACAGGTGCGTCATTACCTCTGCATATCCATTTGTGTGGATATTGTTCATTCAAGTGGTTTCTAACGTTTAAAGAAAAATGTGGTGGAGCTCCATCTTGCATAAACCACATATCTCTCCGACGTTGGAGAGGTAAATCTTCTAACAATTCTGGCAACGTATTTTGTTAAAAATCCAAATAATTTTCTCCAGTTAATCTTCGTGGAAGTATGACAGGACCAACAATGAAATTACCAATTATTCCAGCCCACACATTAATTTTGAATTCGTGCTGAAAATGGTTTACCTTTATTGCATGCGGATTATCAACGGCATAAACATATTTGTTATGGGTATTAGTTATACCTCTTCTTGTAAAACCCGCTTCATCGGAAAAGAGAACCTTCTTGACAAAGTTTGGATCTCTTTCTCTTTGCATATTAACAAATCGACAAAAACCCAAACAATTTGAGGATCATGGACTAATAATTCTTGTACTGGCTTCTTATGGTATGGATATAGCAATTGTTCTCTAAGCACTTTATGAACGACATCTTTACTTACTCCTAGTTCCCTTCCAATTCGTCTGGTGCTTAATTCTGGATTTTCTTCAACACGTTCTAAAATGTCTTCTTCAACTTCAGGAATCCTTACAAAACGTTCTCTTCCATTATCAACAGTGTTGGGAGCAAAGGAACCGGTCTCCCGAAGACGTCTCTCAACAGCGGCAAAAGTTGGGTGGCTAGTTACACGACGATTTGGAAACCTCTCAGAGTACACCCTGACACTCTCTCGAGCATTTCCTTCACAAAATCCTAATGTCACTAACATATCGGTATATTCTGCATTGGTATATTGTACAGCCATATTAATAAACCACGCATTTGTTTTTTTAATTATTGAGTCAGATAGAACACTTTTAATCGTTAACAAGAGATTAGGTGTTAAAACTTGACAATAGTTTTATTTAGATGAAACTATGGAAACCAACAATAAATGATTTTGTATACGTATTGCAGGCAAATAATTAATATTCCTCAAAAAATCGTACATGGCAAGAATCGAGTATTTTTGTTGAAAGTCTCGAATAGAGGTGTTGAAGAAAATATGAAAAAAGTACATTTTTATGTTTTTCATCGTATAAAATTTTGTCCGATAATAATACATGGGCGTAGAACTTGATTTTCAAATAATTGCACCTTTAAAAATTCTACGCCAATGGCAAAAAAGGGGTTTGAGTATGAAATTTGGATTGGGTACTCATTTACTACAAAAAAAAGTACCCTTGATAACACTCGATTTACTCTCATGGTTTTGACAAAGTTTGTATTTTAATAATTATTGTTTATGTTCTAAAATTACTAAAATGCAAATTTCGTCAAAACCATGAGAGTAATAGAGTCTTATCAAGAGTACCTTTTTTAAAGTAAATGAGTTGCGCAATCTAAATTTTATACTCAAACTCCTTTTCTTTCATTGGCGTAGAATTTTTAAAGGTGCAATTATTTAAAAAATCAAGTTCTACGCCTATGTATTATTATCGGACAAAGTTTTAATACCATTTTTTTTTGCCACATAAAACTCTACCAATATACCAAATTTCAGCAAAATCGCATATGCCGTTTTAAATTTATATAGAAAAAACGATTTAAAAATTGTAACTTCAAGGCCCTCTGGAGCCCAAACGAAGCAACTTTGTACTAAGGTAATTTTACTTAAATCGACTTATTTTGGTCTAAGGAATATGTGGTATGTTTTTGTAAAGACCTTTTACAGACACCCTGTATAAGCTTACATGTGTTTTGTACAGTCTCTTACAAAAATAAAATTGATTAGCATTGAGAATCTCGAACTATTGTTATTCACCATTAAGCGATATTTTTATGTACGACTGTCACGAGTGAACTACCTTAAAACCTTATTTTATTTAAATTTTTCAAGATTGTGACTCAAGCCCTTTATATCTGACTCCAAAGAAATAACCTAGACCTAAATTACTTTTATTCGTTTAATTAATTTTTATACCCTAGTGCGACAGTTAACGTGTTAAGACAGAAACATAACAACTATCGAATTATATATTCGAAAAGATATTTCGAGAATAAATACTCTTGCAATGTACCTAATACAATCTCCCAATAGATTCTTCATTACTTTGCGCATTAGATTCTGAGCAGTAGATTATTTAGACCGCCAAATTCATACTGCGCACAATTCTGGTGGCAATGACTGGTTTCTGATCGTTGTTGGAACAAACTTGTTAAAACACGACTTTCTGACAAAAATTATTGATCTTTATCTGCAACAGTACTTTACTTACAGTACAGTATTTCAGTACTTTTATTATAGCTTTACAAGTTTCAGATATTATGATGTTATGTTATGTTGGGGATAAGGTGTTAATACACTGCGACCTAAAAGATCTATTGTACCCCCTTCTGTCGAAAATGCACCAAGGAAATGTCTCAATGCTTATAACGACCATTCCAATCCTATTTTCTTAAGGAACTGTAGGATTTGAAGTGGCTTCAAGTTAGGTAAATCTCCCTCTTCTATATCCTAGATATAGTGCCCTTGGATTCTGGAGTGCTACACATTCAATTAGGATGTAAATGGAGTTTTCGTCCTCCTCCTCACAAAATCTGCACTCACTATCCTCTACTACTCTCAGTTTACTTACAATACGTAGCCTATTCTTGCTCAGGCAGATGCAGGCTTCCGATCTTTTCTGGTTATATTCACCCAGAAGTATCTTAGCCTGTCTCAGCCACAAGAGACTGTTCCAATTATCGGTTCTTCTACTGCCCAATTATTTTTTAATCTCTTCTAATAGTATGTTACTGCTGATACCACAGAACGGTTCAGATCCTACAAATAATGTTTGAGCCCCTTTCCTTGCAAGACTATCTGCAATCTCGTTACCCTGTACCGCGTTATGTCCCGGGACCCAAGTGAGAGTAACTCTATTTTTCTCGCCTAGCTGATTCAATTGTTCTAGGCATCTCCAGACCATTTTTGAGCTGATTACGTAAGAACTCAGCGCTTTGATGACTGCTTGATAATCTCTTGTCTATGATAGTTTTTCTCAATGGCGTAAATTTCCACCTGGAAGATGCTTGGGTATTTTCCCAAGCTTTCGGAGCGCTTGGTTCTCGGCCCATACACTCCAATTCCAGTTCCTTCTATGGTTTTGGAACTCCGTATACCACTGAATAGCACATCTTTCGGTTGCAAGCGCGATGAATTCTTAGCACCATTCTTTCTTGCAGCCCAGTTCTGTAGTTTTGAGGTTTTCACAAAACTGTACTTCTTTAGCATTTCATCCTGGGGCATGTCCCAGGTATCTTTAGTCCTGAAGCAAGTATACTTTCGTCTGATTACTCCGTTCCTAATCATTCTATATCGTGTCCCTTTTGCCACATTCTCTATCATCAAATGTAGAGATGTGAGGTTTAAGATCACCTCCATTGCGGCCGTAGGACAGGTTCTCATTGCACCAGTAATGCAAACACAGGCTAGTTTAGCTCTAGTAGTAGCTAAACTAGTTCTGTTACTCCAGGCTATAGCCCCGTAAGTGATAATTGGTCTCACTATTGCAGTATACATCCATCGCAGTATGTTTGGGTTACATCCCCATCGTTTTCCTGCAATGTTTTTGCATACCATTAGGGCTTTTGTGGCCATATTTACCACTTCCTTCTCAGGTGTGTTTCAGAGAAGTTTGTTGTCCAGGGTTAGGCCTAGATATTTTACTTCATTTTTCCATTATATATCTATCCCGTCCCCAGGTATTATGATACTATTACAGTAAAAAATAACTAAAAAACAAAAAATTGCAATGTAGACAACTCAATGAAAATGAACGAACAGAAATATCTTAAACTTTTTGGTCAAACATGTTATGGAAACAACGAAAAGTTTATATAGATATGTTAGTACAAAAAAAAAGAAACTAAAAGACAAATAAACAGAAAAGACGAGGACAAATCAAGAAGATACTTTACTTGGCTTTGCTTTTTACAAACACTAAAAAGATTTAGGGTTTATAAAATCATGTTTTTGAACACATTGGGAATAAATAAAAGATGTTATTTACTGGAAAAACGATTCTAAAAATAAAGTGGGTAATAGAGAACAACTTAATCGTGAATAACCATACTGAAGGTGTCAAGGATAGGATAGAAATTTTGACGGAATTTTTTAATGACCTCCCTAAAATCGAGTCCCACTATTGCCGTGCTAGGTCATCTAAATTTTGTTTGGAACTTGTTTTTGAATCGAAATCCGGCCTGGATAAGTTTTATAAGAGCTGGTGTCATGAAAAAAGTTACACTCCTGTGTCGGATACGTTATTTTCTCATATTTTTAATGATATGAATTTGAGCTTGTTTAAACCCAAAAAAGAAGAGTGTGACGTTTGTGTGGAATATCACACAGAAAATGTATCAGAAGAAAATTATGTTTTACACCAGTTTAAAAAAACTGAGTCACGAGAAGCTAAGGAGAAAAATAAAATCCATAATAATAGAGTTTTTTGCATGGGTGTGCAAGCTGTAATTTTAAGCCCCAAATCTAATACATCGGCTTTATATTTTAAAATGAAACTTATTACTCATAACTTTGCCGTGTATGACATGAAAACTACAGGTTACAGCTTTTTATGGCTCGAAGCTGAGAGTGTTTGTGACATCGATTATGCATCTATAATTTGTTACTTTCTTAAAGATTATGTGGTGAACCAACTCGAAAATGACCAAGTTATCCTGTACAGTGATGGCTGTACATCCCAAAATAGAAACGCTTTCCAATGCGTTGAATAAAATTTTCAATCAATCATAATATTAATATCGAGAAAAAGTATTTGGAAAAAGGGCATACCCAAATGGAGGCCGACTCGATGCACTCCCTTATTGAAAGGAAAGTGCGAAAAACAGATATAGATCTTTCAGCTGATTATTTTGTGTGCTTTGTGAGGACTTTGAGTAACCAACTTTCTTTACTACTTCGTGCAAAAGAATTTCAAGCATTTCTCTTCTCCATCCATTTCATTTCTCCTCTTGTGTATTCAATATACTTTTAACTGCAAAAACTTTTATACTTAGCCGCTATCTTTTTTAAATTAAATGATTTAAATACATCTTTACATGACGTAGGTGTCACCATGATAGAGTAGAGGCCATGTACAAAAATTGAACTCTTGGATTCAATGTCTGTAAATAAATAAGTCGGTTTTCTCGGCACTATTTTATCAGAAAATGACATTCAATTTAACGAAAATATTAAAAAATGTAAATTACGTTATAACAGTAGTATGTAAATGATTGTACCTGTGTCAATGGCCAGACTAGTCGAGGCACATTAATATTATTTAAAAAAATTAATTTTATTTACTATTACTAATGACTACAAAGGTGGTTCCCCAATTTATCTCTGTTTTTAGAAGGGGTTCCCAAGGGAAAACAGTTTTAAAACCGCTGATGACTCTGACGGAAAAGTTGAAACATTTGGAAACAAATCTTCTAATTTATTAATTCACAAAAGGGGCCCCATTGTTTTTATCAACACTTTTTTAATCAAACACAACAGAAGCACTTGCTTCTAATTTATTACCGTCTTTCATAAAGAATTATCACAGGAGTGTTAAATACTAAAGTAAAAATATTTTTTCTCAAACAAAAATAATTTGTTTACCCGTTTTTTTCACGTGTAATACGATAATACAAAATTAGTGATAGTAGCTTTTAAAGTTCTGAATAGAACTCGTAATTTAATTCGAATTAATTATATACAAGATGTTAATTGTTTGACCAATTTTAATGTTACGCAAGTTATAACACTTAGGTGATACTTATACTTAATAAATTATCGGTAATTTTTATCAGTACATTTGTTCAATAGAAGCGTGGATTTGTTATTAGTTGGCACATCTCGTACTTTACATGGATTATGAAGACTTTTTGCATGTATTTATTAAGAAATTAAAGATTATTTGCATTAGTCTGCAAGATTCCAGAAAATGAAATTTGTCTGTATTTATAATTCAACAAACAACAAATCAATGACATTTCCTAAAGTTAAAAATGTGCCAAATATTTGTAAAAAAAATTAGGTTTCAAACCTTTGTAATTTGTTCAGATATTATAACTTCATCGTTTTCATCATTATTCATCTAAAAAATTATTATAATTAAAGTTAAATATTCTTATTATTATATAAATAAATACATGTAGATAGGTATACAAAAAATGTCATACCATAAAAAAGTCATTTACATTATTTTCTTGCTCTTTTTTTGAAGAATTTTGTAAATTTCCCAAAAAAAATTAAATAAATTCATTTAATCATTTATATAATGTAGGTAATGTAAATACAACGTAATATGTTTTATTTACCTTTTCCAAAATTATATTTGATGTTTTTGTAGAAAATTAATCACGATCTTAAATAAAAGAAAAAAGAAACACTAATTTACCAAAAATTCATGATCCAAATTATTCAAGAATTGAAAATAATTATTTCGGAGTCAAATTTAGTCTTTTAAATATTTTAAAAATCAATTCTCATTAATACGAAAGCAATAGGACTTCTGAAAAATATTTTATATGTACTTAATTTAGTTTCTTACCTAAAATACCATCTAAAATAAACCGAACAAAAGTTTTTACTTTAGCCCTATTTAAATTAAGGCCCGTGGTTTTTAAATTCTTTCTCTTAACATAAGAATCCTTTCTTCTTCCCATGCTTTTAATATCTCCACAATATTCAAAAAAATACAAATTTTTAATAACACTAACACAATACACCGCCGCGTATCGAATCTTTCAAATTATCCCAAAACAATATTTGTCTATCCCGTGCACATACTTTGATTACTATACAGTGCAAGAGAGAGGTCCGACACGCCCAACATAGGGCGCGGCCATTTTGATTCCTATGCCACAGTTTATAACTAAAGAATCAGATCGCTATGCGTCGGCACTTCTGATCTCAATGTTCCAGTTTATACACTGCGCAACTCGGATAATACAATATATGACAACCGCCTATAATAAAGCAGCAGTCTTCTGCGTATCCTGAATTTGTATCCCTGGAGTGGATGTTATTTTTAAACTTCTAACTGGTCCGAGTGAGCTAACTGATTCTTTAGCAATAAACTGTGACTCCAAAAATAATATTCACTGACACTGACAGCAGCAAGCAAAATATCAGGTGCGTTTTAATCATCCGCTTCTGCTTCCGGAATTGTCGGTTTAGTCGTTTTAACTTGTCAGATTAAAACAAGAAAACCGACAATTCCGAAGCAGAAGCGGATGATTAAAACGCACCTATTAAAAATATTGCGCCAAGATGTAGGCAACACGTAATAAGGGATCAAAATGGCGGAGTTTTCTATCTCCTTTTAAAAGGCACTCAGAAAGCTGTGCAGTGCGACCATTCTCCGTATAGTAAAGGAAAATCAAAGTATGTGATCCCGTATCCTATACGGTAGTTACGGATGCAATTGAATAAATATATCTGACAATGGTTTCTATCTTTTGAGGTGGGAGTATTGGAGGAGATACCTACTGCAAATTTCCCCTGAAACGAAATTTAAGCGTTCAGAGCAATAACTCTTAATGCTTATCTCTGTATCTGTAAAGTTGGAAGGGTGGTTACTACACAGCACATAAGCCTCATAATGCCCATTGTGTATCCTCCAGGGGCATATAGGACATGTATCTCCCCTTGTCAAAACCTGCTGGTTGTCGCTGCAAGGTGTGTAGAGATAGCGATCTTCCCAACTCATCATAGTCCTGCAGGTTATTAACGAGTTAAAAACCTGCTAATTGACGCTGAGGGGTATCTAGAGACAGCCATCTCTTCAGCTCGTCAAAGTCCTGCAGGCTATCGACTCGTCAAAAACATGCTGGTTGTCGCTTGGGAGTGTCTAGGGATAGCCAGCCTTTCAAGTCAAAGTCATGCAGTTAATAACATTGCCGATAGGTGTCTTTAGATTTCCCATTTTTGAAACGTGACCATCTGATGGGATTCTACCACCTCGATGGTAAATGCCCGGGTGAATCCATTCTGTGCGCACGCTCCACAGAGCAAGCTTAATGTTTATAGTTCAAGTATAACTAATTAAAACTTCTTTCCTACGACAATTTAGGAAATTGACACATATCAACTTATGTTGTCATAGAGTACCAAATGCACTGTGAACTAAAATATCTCTAGTGTTCTTTTCTGTCGCTAAGGAGACAAGCAAATAGTCTCGACGACTATAAGATTCCTTTCTAAGTAAGTTTAGATATTAGGTCAGGTTAGGTCTAATTGAAAATGAATGAAAAGATCTCTTCATCTTTCCCTGTGACCCAGATGAATCTATTATGGCTGATATTTAACTTATAGTTCACCGTTCAAGAAACCATACCTTTTGATAAAGGCCATTGTTGAATTGGGTAAGACTTGTTTAAAGTCCATAGGCTTAAGTTGGGTGAATCCGAAGATTTGGAAACTATTTCTTTCCCAAGCTGAGCAGGTACATAGACTATATTCTGCAGATTCGTCTTAGATACTACAGAATCGACAATCTGATGTGTATACCGCTGGCTATCAAGTAAAGTACCGTTGGATAAACATTTCGTCATAATGTGAATCAATGTTTCCTCCTTCTTACAAAATCTGCACTCACTATCTAATACTGATGCAAGTCGAACTGGATAGTTCACGGCGTTATCCGCATGTTTAGGGGATTATAATTGTCAACCTGTGTTATTTTAACAGGTCTGTTATTTTATAAACACACAGAAACAACAACCTGTTCACAAATAACGTGTCATAACCCCTTTATTGAGATGTAGACTATTTCTATTTCGTTAAATGACTTCAGCAACATGTCAGTGGTAAGTGCAGCTTTTTCGAGGTCAAACTAACCCGTCACAAAGCTTCTTCACTGGCTTAGCTTGTAATTCCGCGGTTCCTGGGTAAATGCGATCTATTAATTCCTGCACGGTAAACACTAATATACAGAAAGCAGAAATATAAAGATAGGAAATGCAATAATGGCGTCATCTGTGCGTCTCAAATGTTAACTGAAGGTACACGTCGTTTGTAGACAGACAGTAGACGTGGACAGCAATGGACAGTTTGTAAAAATAAATGTCAATTAGTTGTATGTATATCGTAAAATCCTGAATTTAAATTTTGAATTCATAAATGGGTTATATTGTAAAGTAAACTAAGGGAAATGGTTGTGGTTGTTTTTTTGTGTGGAATTTTGGGACACTAACAATTATGTTGTGATATTACAATGAGTCTGAGCACGTATTGCACAAGTAACACATGCCACATGAATAAATTTAACAACCTCAATGTGGCGTTCTTTAATTTACCAAAGTAGGATCCAGCCATGTAAGTAACGCAAACAGTAGAAAACTTTTTTAAATGATTTATTATTTATTGTTTTAGAGCAAAACATGGCTTCAAAACGTTGGAGAGAATATTTGCTAATGACTAATTACTAACGACTAACGACTAACGACTAACGACTAACGACTAACGACTGACGACTGACGACTAACGACTAACGACTGACGACTGACGACTGACGACTAACGACTAACGACTAACGACTAACGACTAACGACTAACGACTAACGACTAACGACTAACGACTAACGACTAACGACTAACGACTAACGACTAACGGCTCACAACTAACAACTAACGACCAATTACTAACGACCAACGACTAAAGAATAACGACTAACGATAAACTATTAACGATAACAAATGACTAATGATTAATAACTAATGACTCAGTATTGGGGTTTTAAAGACAACTTTAAAATGTAATAAACTTAGAATAAAGTAGTTGTTATAATGAAGTGAGTCTATGATTGGGTTGCTCTTTGTATTTATTTTTCACTAAATGTTAAGGTCCTAGATTAGAAATGGTCAAAAAAATTATTCAGTCGATAATAAATTATAGCTGGTTAAATTCTAATTACTAATTAACAAACAGTATATTTTCTTTTAATCAGTTAACAGTTAAATTTAAAATATTGTGTGAATTATTTTTTTTGTCATTTATCTGACTTTAGGTATAGGGCATGCTGAACTCAAATGAAAGTTTAATTAAGGTACTTTTGAATGGTGACATAAAATATAGGATAGTCATTTCAAAAAAAATTAGATGATGTACTTGAATTTTGACTCATCCTATACAGATTTGTTTTTAATTGAAAAAAATTGTGCATCGTCATAAATGTTGACCAACATCGAAAAACTTTTACCGTGAACAAATTGGTTTTCAATTGTTTTGCAGTATACAGTCATTGAAATCAATACGATTTTCATATAAAACTGGTTATAGCGTGTGAAATACCCTGTATAATCTCATATATTTGGTACTGTTATAATGGGAAAATCAAATGAAATTCATATATAAAAAAATTAAATATGTATCACTTTCTTGGAGAACCCTGTATGATTAAAATAAATTTTAAATTGTTGTCATTTCTGATACATCTCGCTTTGATAACAGATTAAAAAAATCTCTGGCCCACCCTGTATTTCTATACAATATGTTATATTTGTAATATCTTGTTATTATTATTATTGACACTATTTCGTTTTATGTCATTCTTTTAATGTACCTACTTCTGAAATAAGGTTTGTTTACTACTTATTATTGGGAATATGGGACAATTTCAATTCAAAGTAATTTTCGTTCTTAAATGTATTGTCATGATATCCCTAATCCGACCCTGTGCCTGTGTACGCACGCGGCCTTCACATGGCAACCAATTCGTGATCGAAGCAATGCTGACGTGTGGAAAGAGCCGGACCGCGTCTCGAATGTAAAAGAATACGACGGAATGTCTGCCACTGAAGCACTGGAAGCGACTGGAATGGCGGAGAGTGCTGCTTAATCATAAAAAGGAATGTTCAAGAGCCTCTCGTATTTTCCAGTAGCGGATTTGGACTAATATAAATAGCCGACGAATCAGCGCCAAGTTTAGTTTAGTGTAGAACATTTTATTGAAAAGTTAAAGTGTAAGAAATAAATTATAATTGTTAGTTAGTGTCTAAATATTATATAAATTAAATAGTACGTCTGAAATAAATTGTAAATAGTGTGTTTTTAAATAAATAAACTTTAAATAAATTAGACTTTCGTCACAGTATTTAGTTTTAAGAAAATATAGGATTTTACCTGGGCTAATGCATCAACTGTACTTTTCCTAAAATACAAGAATATTCACTTATGTTTGTTCTCTCGAGTAGATCGTCCATCCCTTTATTAAAATATTCAAGTAAATTTAATAAAATCAAATTAAGGTAATAAATAAAACAAACGATAAAAATAAATTTATTTATTTTGTAGCTTGTCTTAAGGTGTTAGATGATCTAAAATCCAACTGAGATAATACCTCACGTTGGTATATACAGCTGGTGCTGCTCCACAATCTGGAGATCCAAATGAAACTATTCCAACAGTGTACCACCTAAAAAATAAAACAGAAATCAATTTATAGAACTAGAGAATTGAAAATGAAATGAAGAAAAAGAGGCACCAAGATAAGGAAAAAATGAAGATAGATAGAGAAGATATAATGAACAAAATGTAGGGAATGAAAAATGAAATGAAGAAACAAAAATAATAAATGAAGTGGATGAAAATAGAAGAGAAGACAACGAAGAAATTAAGAAATTTATAAAAGAAGACAAAGAAGAAATGATGGAAGAGAAGATAGATGGAATGGAAAAGAAAATAGAGATGAAATTGGAAGAATCGATAAAAAATAGAAGAGGTGAGAAGAGCAGAGAAAAATGAGATGAACATTTTTATAAATGATAAATCAAATGAAATAAAAAAATATATAAGAGTTAAGAAGATTGGAAGAATAGAAGTAGAAAAATTGCAAGATGAGAAATTTGAGATTGCAGCAGAGAAAGAAAAAGTTTTTGAGGAAAAAATAAAAGAGGAAGTAGAAAAAATTAAGATGGGAGTGCAAGATGCTACACAAAGAATGGACATGTAGGAAGAAAAATGGATTAATACAATAATTAGAATAGACCAAAATGTTGAGGAAAGAGCAGAGTATTGTAGAAAACAGAAAACAAGAGGAAAGGAATTGGATAAAAGGTTAGGATATATAGGAAAGCAAATAGATTAACTGACAAAAAAAAACCCAAATACGAATAATAATAGTCAATAATGAAATGGAAGAGGTAAAACGGGATATCAGTAAAAAAATAAAGGATATGGAAACTGAAAATAACACTTAAATAATCACTAAAGTTTGTTTTACTATTTTGAGAATTAATATTGACATTTTGCAGAGCCATCTACCGAATTCTATTTTTCATATAGACATGGTTAACAATTCTATGGTCTAGAACAGTGATTCTCAACCTTTTTTTGTTGTGGCACATTTTTAACGATTTCAAAATTTGTCGCCACACAAGAAGAAGATAATTTTCAAAATTACTTACCTATAACACACTGCGTAAAATAGCTTCTAATAATTTTAAATGTGCAAATATGTACTTTAAAAATAACAATACGTATATCAAGTTAATAATAAGAATTCTTTTAATGCGAAATTTAATTTTGATGTTTTTTGATAATTTCATTTATATTTAGTCGTAAAAATGACAATGCGACTCTCATATCGTCTTCTACATTTAACAATCTTGATCTTTTATTATTTTTAATGTTGGTTAATGCTGAAAATCCGAATTCACACAAATAAGATGTGGAAAATTGTATTAAAGCTTTTTTGGCTATCATTGGATAATCGCATCTTGTGTTAATCCAAAATGAATTAATTGATTCTTCTGAATATTTTAAAATTAAATCTCGATTATTGGAAAGCAGAATGAGTTCTTTCTCTTCATTCAAAGTTAAGTCAAACACAGAAGTATCCGTTATGAGAAATGGATTACGAACCCAATCAAATTTATTTATATCTAATTTTGGGAAATAATGAACACTAATGTTGTCAAATGGTCAATAACAAATATTTTAATAATTTTATAACAGTCTTTTGGGACTAGCTCAATTTTTTCTAAATTGCCTTCCTGAGCTAGATTCTACCATAACGTTATTTGATTTTGGAATCCCACCAGCTTGTTGGTTGAGTTTAAGATATTTTCATTGTATACTTGAATTTATGTTATAAAAAATATCAAAAACGTCTGATAAGTAAGCAACTTTAGTACACCATATTTTATCTTCCAACAAATGAACAAATTCATAATTTTTATCTTATTCAAAAAATATTTTCATTTCGTCTTTTAATTCCAGCACACGAGATAAAACTTTTCCTCTAGACAACCACCTTACTTCCGTATGCAGTAACAAGGATTCGTACTTGGCTTCCATAGCTGGGCATAATTTACTAAATAAGCGACTTTTTAATGGTCTTGATTTTATATAATTAACCATTTTAACACATTGTTCCAGAACTATTTTTAATTCTGATGGCAAATATTTTGTAACAAGTGCTTCTCGATACAAAAAACAATGGGTAACCCTTTTAGATGTCCAGTCATAGCTGGAGCACCATCTGTACAAATGCCAATACATGACTTCTACGAAACTTTAATTTCTTTTAAATAAGAACTAATTACATTAAAAATATGTTTGCCAGTTGTAAAATCAGGTAACTCCAAACAACATAAAAATTCTTTCGATGATTTGTAGAGTAAAATTACCGCGGCACACTGGTTGAGAATCACTGGTCTAAAGTCTAAAGTATAACACAGCCTATTTATCTGCTTAACTTTAACCCTTAAAGCAAGTAAATCTCCACATAGTATAAAATTATCTTACCTGTATTCTCCAAAAATCTTTATTTCTTTCATTACTGGACCTCCACTGTCTCCTTCACAGGTATCATGCCCTTCCCCTGCTCCTACACAGATTTGCGCTTTGGTAACATTATAATCTGTATAACTGGTTTGGCAATCTCTTAAGGGAACAACATCCAAATTTACATACTGTAGAACTTTGGGCATTACGGAGTATGAACTGTTATTAGTTTCTCCCCATCCAGCTAATGACACTATACCGTCAACCATATAATGTTTGAACGAGGAATCTCGACCGGGTAGGCAGATAGGTTTGACGTAATCTAAAAGAAATTGTTATTTTATGTTACAAACCGTCAATGTGAGGTGGCACTAATTAAGAAGTAAATAGATCCAATAGCGCGCCGAAATATTTTAAACAAAATGTATGTATTGAAAAGGTGGCAATATGGGCCCAAATTATCCTTCCTACATGTTCAAAGCTGCCAGAGATAGTGACCAGTATAAGTCATTAATTTGCTCCGCTCCGAAAAAAGTTTGTAAGGTAAGACTTTCATCCTTTTGATTATTTTAATACAATTGTAAAATTGTGGTAACGTTAAAATTGTGCTGTATATGGCTAGTATTTACAAAATGTGAATTAATTTTTATGGACTATAAAGTGTTGGTAATATGAGCGGGTCCCATGAAAAAAGAGGCCTATATTGTCGCGCGAAAGCCTACCCTGGCCTTTGTTTACTCTCGCGGTATGGAGTCAAGCGGCGCGCTGGCAATATAGAGACAATCAGACGCTTCTCGAATATACCAGAACAAACGGTAGGCACGTGACGTTGAGTCATAGAGATGGAAGACTAGGACATTCCACACCGTCTAGAGTATTCTGGTTACAGAGTTGGCTTAATATAAATGTCGCGAGATTGAAGATGGCAGTCAGTTATATATAGACAGTTTAGTATTGGAATGAAAAGTTAAGTGTAATAAATAAATTAGAATTGTTACTGTCTAAGTATTATATAAATTAAATAGTACGTCATAAATAAATTGTAATTAGTGTGTTTTAAATAAATAAACTATAAATAAATTAGACTATCGTCACAATATTATCAAATGCCATATATGCCACGAACCATTCTAAACAAAACCAAATTTAAACTTAAGCGAAAAGCATTGGACATAGAAAACATGGTAAAAAGGGCAATTAAAGCGATAGTAAATAAAAAAAATGGGATTAAAAAAGCGTCGAAAACCTTTTCTGTTCCAGGAACTACCCTTCAAAGGCTTTCACGTCTTGGAACGTCTCCAGAAAATGATGTAAATATTAAACTAGGTCGTAGACGTAGATTTTCAGATGTTATCCATCTGGTTGAATACAAACTACTCTGTTCACAGACTGGTTTAATCATTTTATTGAAGGAGCCACTGCTGATGATCATATCCCAGCTAGCACATAACGTTGCCAAGCCTTTCGGCGATGTTGCATTAAGGGAACGTAATAACATTACTTACAACGTAAATGCAACGTTCATGAGAAGTTGTTGAGGGAAATCAGAACCTCGCAAAACTTCTATTTGTTATTTACCTAGTTAACCTACCGTAAACATTACAAATCTGAATTCAGAACGTTTAGTTTTATGTCAATTGTCACTTGTCAGTTTTTCTTGTCAATTGTCTTTTTTAATGGTTTATTTTTCGACATCCAGAATTTATTTTATAAATAATTATTATTTATACATTCGAATAGATTTGGTAAGGGTCCTTTATAAAATAGATAACTATTTTCTAAACCATTGTCTTTGTTTCAGATTACAATGCCTGATGTAAATTTATTATTTCATTCATTAAGTATCTTTAGCAGTCGATGCCGATGACGCCAAATAAAAAAAAACTACAATAAAAACAAAGAATTGCAGATCAATCGTTGTAAACCAGAAGATAAACATTTAACTGAATGTCCGGCAACATTTTACACCAAATACTTATAAAAGGTAATTATACTTTATCGAACTAAAAATACATTTTAAAAATATTATTTTTTAGGTTTCCTTCGACATTCTAGGAATTTTAGAAGCAAAAGTAAATACTACAGAAGTCTAAAGAAGAATATAACACCTGAAGTTTTATAAAAAGTGAATCTATAGGTACATGATATGTCAGGTATATCAGAATTCAAGCAGTTCATTCTCTTCAACAGGCTAGATTGCCTGGAAATGCAACCATCAGTTCAAGTGAAAACCCAGCAGAAAAGTTGAGAGAAATCATAGATGATACTCTCGAGTATAATAGAATATCTTGCTAAAAAACACCAGTTGTTTTTTATAAAATCTACATATTGATGGCTCAATCAAATACTGCCACAACTAAAATACTATTATTTCGAGAAATTTCATTTTGAAATTTTGTAAGTCTCTATTATCATTATTTTGTTTTTGACATACTCTTTATATTTTATTTAAAAGCTTCGATATTTTGCTGTTAAATAAAATGATTACGATTATAAAAGTGTGTTGTTGCATAGTTGTAAAAAATTTGGGTGTTTTTGAAGAAAATAACTCGAATTGAGGCAGTTTTAGACACAGTTTGTGGCTACATTTTAAATGATTTATCTTTAAGGATATTTTTGTTTGTGGTGGTATTTAAAGTAAAACCGTAATGATATTTTGCATCCATTGAACCAAAAATGTAATTGCTTTTCTTTTTGACTTGTGGCGGTTTTTGATTGAGCCATCGATATATCTACCTTGGAAATCAAGCATAAAATTTGTAAAATTCAAACAAATTTCAATACACTAACATTGGTTGTTTTATTTAAAACAACAAAGTAAGGCATATTTTTTAATTTCTATATAATTTCCTTTAATTAATAATAGGTAAACAAGTTATCAATTTCTTTTTTATTCAATGTATTGAGAAGTAAAATCTTTTTATATAAAAATATAATTTATGCTCTTCTAATAAATTGTCATATTTAGGTTACATTATAGCACTTTATAAATATCTATGCAAAAAAGGTTAAAAGGCTTGATTTAAAAAAGATATATCTCTGCGTCTTAGGAAAGAAATCAGCGAACTTAGCTATCCTCTAGTAATCTAATATAATAATATGTACCTAGTCATTGTTGTATTCGTTATTATTTTTCACCAATCTAGCTTTATCATCGTTCACCATTTAAGGTTTTAGTGAACCTTTGCAATATTGGTACCTTATTATACTATTTAGCTATTTTTGTCCAATCGTTTAGTGCTTTCTAGGTACTTCTTCTATTCCACATGTGTACTTGTGTTTGTGATATAAGGTGTGTTCTTTTATTCAATAATTGTTCCATCAGTGATTGATGTAATTTATCTATTCTGCAGTCGTTTTATATTTGAACTCTTATATTTTAGGTTAACTTAAATGATTGATTATCCTCACCATTCGTCTATCACATATCCATCGGCTTTTAAAGCCGATGGATGCCTTGGCTCATTGGTGAACTCACCGCTGGAAAAAAGAATGATTGACACATACAATCGTCTTTCCATCACTTAATTTACGAACGGTTTGCTGCAAGCGCTGGATACAGCACTGAATAAAAGAACACGCCTACACCTACCTCTACTTTTGTGCTATTGGTACTTGATTTCAAGAACATTTTAATAATAAATTTATATAAATATTTTGTTTTATTTGAAATTTTCATGTCTCGATTGAGATTTTACTATAGCCTCAATTTCAGCCTTTATTATTATTACATTACACAATGTGTGTCCACAGATGGACTTAATTATACTTGTAAAAATATTTATTTTAAATTAAAGAAAAAGTTATTTTTCATAATTTCTCAATGTGAATCGAATTTATTTAACAAGCAAGAAATTATGAAGAATTACTTTTTTAATTTAAAATAAATATTTTCACAAGTATAGTTAAGCCCATCCGTGGACACACTGTATAATGCTGTAGATCTAATTCACATTATAACATCAATAGAACGTTTCAGAGCAACTTTCGGGGTAAGTACCGTAAAAGTGCTAGTGTGATGTTTTTCGAACTTCACTTTGTAACTTCTGTGAGATGTGCTATAAAAGTCTTGCCGTTGCGGACATTCGGTAGTTGCAGGGAGATAAGGGTTACATTTACAGTACATTGCATGCAAGCTTAAAGAGCCTAAAATTGCAGCTTATTAACGTAGATGGGATGTTTTTGTGCTAGCTGGGATTCTCCTTATTTTGGATGGACACCACTCATACACAAAAAATATTGACATAATTGAACTGGCTCGCAAAAATTGTGTGTTCGTCGTCAGCCTTCCACCCCACGCGACAACCTTTGGACAAGTCATATGGGTCCATTAAAACATCATTATAGTGAAAATATTCGAGAATGGACCCGCCATAATAGCAAACCAGTAGGACCTTATGATATCGCAGATTTGTTTGGAAGAGCTTACTTGTTGTGTCAAAATGGAGCATTTGCAGCATGGTATTAAAATGTCTGATATTTAACTGTGCAATCGTCAAATTTTTAATGATGTAAATTTTGCCGCTTCTGGGAGTGGAAGTCGAAGACATAGAACTTCTTTCTAAAAGAAAATGAAGAAATACAACAACAGGAGAACCGAAAACCTGTCTTTATCACAACAGAAATAAATCTCAGCAAGGTAGTAAAACACCTGATCCCTCTTCTGTACCAGCTCTCAGCACATCTCTATTTTATAAGTCATCTGTTCAAAATGATGGGGCAAGATCATCCAATAACCAAAACAAGCCTTGTACTTTTATACAAACACTTGCTGTAAATACCACATCTAAACAAAATTTCGAAGAAGCTGGTTCATCAGGGACCAAAGTAATTCATTATCCTGACGTCAGTTTTCTCCAAAAGACATTTAGCCAATCTCTTGACCAAAAAAAAGATGACTAACAGAGGCTCCAAATCTGTAAAATCAGCATTACTTACACTTCTCCATATAAAAATAACCTCTTAAAGATTCAGCAAAGAAGCTTAAAAAACGAAAAACAAAGAAGAAGCGAAAACAGTTATTCCAAATGTAAAAGGGAAAGTAAAAATTACCACTAAACAGCAAGAAGTTCAAAAGTCTTATAAAAAGAAAAATTACTTTTATAGATAAAGAATCAGAAGATTCAGATATTGATTCAGGTGAATCAGTGCTTGATACAACAAATCAGACACAGCATGTTTGTTTTGTAAAAGCATATTATTTTCTGACGATCATAACCGGGAACTGTGGGTACAATGTTTGATATATGAACTATGGGCACATAACGAATGTGCTGGTTGTGATTTTTGTACTTATCAATTTTTTTTTAAACAAAAGTTATTATGCGATTTTTATTTTCAAAATGTTATTCTAACAACACAGTTTGGGGGGCTCATATTAACAACATGTATTTTTTTTTTTTTTTTTGGAAAAGTGTATGACTTTATTTAAACATGTATTTTTTTATCAACCATTAATCTAAGTACAGACCAGACAACAATTGCTTAAAATACATGTTGTCAACACTGTTGCCAACATGTATCCCATCAACTCTCAACAAGTTGGCAGATACTCGGCAACATAGTGCCGATGTTGGACAGCAAGACATCAAAGGATTTTGTTGTTTGTTGTAAGTATCCATATTTTCAATCTGAAATGGTAAACATCGCTCGGTCTGGACGGTGTTGTCAACAAGTAACGTCAAAACAGTATATAGTGAGATTAACTTTCGTTGCTGTATTTTATTTTCTACAGCTAGTAGGTATGTTTAATAATATTAGCTTCATCTAACTATGTGGGCTTTTTTTTTTCATAGGCCACGTGGTAAATTTTACTCTTTTTTGCTATTAAAAAAATATGATGTTTGTTTAAAATTGATTCGAAGATTAAACGTCGAACTTTTTTATGAGAACTTCAAAGTAGAAACAGTATTTAAATATGCCATAAGAATAGATCAAAGGTCACGCCACATCGAAAGGAAACCGTCTTACTGATTCACTAGCCAAGAAAGCAGCCAACCAAATACTTTAAGACCTAATTAAAGAACATTCCTTTGTGAAATTGGAAAGATGGGATGATACAAGAAACTGCAGAGTTGCCAGGGAGCTTTAGGTTATCCTGACAACACTGCAGTAAACAAATACTTGACTATGACTAGACAGAATCTGCGCCTAATCACAGGAATTCTGACTGGTCATTGCTAAATACGGAAACATCTCCATGTCATGAGGCTGTCAGAATTCGCACTCTGCAGAGGGTTCGAACAAGAAGATGAGACCATCGAGCATATCCTTTACGATTGCTCGACGCTCTCATTTATTAGAAGATTTGTGTTCGGCGAGTATCGGCTAACACCGGCCGATATAAGAGAAGCACCTCTTGGCGACGTTGTCAACTACATTAAATCTGTAGGCTGGCTCACGAGCTGGAAGGCCTTAGTGCCGTGGGGGTAACCCACCCTCCACACGTTACAGATACAGATGCCATCAGAATCTCGATCCACATTATTGGCAGCATGTAGCGAATTTCTTTTACCCGAAGACAATTATAAATAAATAATTTCCTTGTTTACTTTTCCCTGACAATATCCTTTGAGCACTTTAATAATGTCTTTACATACTTCGGGTACAATTGAAGAGATTGTTTTGATATTTTTTTTGAAAAGTTACATTAGATTCGTAAATGAATCTCCTGTAGCGATATATCGCAGAGCAACCATCAATCTGATTGATGGTGGAATCGCAGCACGGTAGTTTGTATTCTTTTTCAATATTTTAGGGGCTACCAGAGTACTGTTTCGAAATTGCGGAACGAACTACCATCATTCAAAAGTACCTAACTCCGCCATTAAGTTGTCACCATAGCTTGTCATATTTTGTGAAAACTGGCTCTGCCAATATCTTCTTTTCCGTTTCTGGTCATGGGAAGCAATAATGATGAAAGCAGCACTAACACCAGCAACAGTAGATAGATCTATTTCTAAATGCTACTTGTAAATACTGCGTTTAATTTGACCGTGCAACTGGTTTTGATTTTGACGAGCAACACTGTTGACCACATGTATCTGGATACAAGTTGTTATATCCAATAAATATGTTGCCAACATCCGTCAACATGTTGCCAACAGTTGGTAATATTTTGTTGCCTAGTTTATACTTACCTTTAAGACAAAATATTTGTCAAAGTATATTATCAAATACATATTAAAGTATCTATTTTTTTTAAATTGTACTCAATTATAAAGGTTTCTAAAATTTACAAGGAAAAATAAAAATGGAGCCCATATTACCACCTTTGCCCCTACTCATTTGCCACTATCGCTGGTGTAAACCGATATTTCTCTTTAGAGCAAACAAGTATTTCCTCCAAGAACTCTTAGTGTGTTCATTTAGTACGCATGTTACAATCTGATTTAGCCCTAACGATTTTGGTAATTGTTTTAGCTATTTGGCATACTTTGCATATTTTAGCGGTATCTTCTTGTGTCTATTATAATTAAAATATATTCAATAATAAAAAAAAATGGTATCGCCGTAAAATTGTTCCTGTTAATCCCCTGTGATTATGATCAGAGATAACAGGAGTCCACCATGGGTATGTTCATAGACATAGAAGGAGCTTTTGATAAGACGACTTTCTCCAAGATAATGCCCTCACTAAACAACAGGAATATTCCACAGATGGTTAGTGGGTGGAGATACACAACATGCTCTCAAAGCTAGCAGTAAACATAAGTGTATAAGATGTGAATATAAGAGGCTTGGTTGCGAGGTGATGTCTACAGGGAGGGGTGCTATCACCTCTATTGTGGAACATGGTCCTCGACTCCCTCATCAGCCGCGTTAATAATGACAGTCACTACACAATAGCGTATGCAGATGCAGTGTCGGATTGTACCGTCAATCTACCGGTCAAAAGACCGGTAAGCCCTCGTTTAAGCAGTAGGCACTCGTTCAAGCGGTGTGCTCTCGTTCAGAAAGTGGGCCTTCCCTTAAGCAGTGGATCCTAGTTCAATCAGTAAGCCCTTGAGAACAACAAATGCAGAATCTCTCGGAAAAAGCACCAGAGGACAAAAAGGAACTTTTTGCTCTTCAAGGAATTGGCCCATGGAAAAAATTAGGTGGGCCCTTGTCCATCCTGACCAGTAGGCCCCGAAGGTTCCAATCCGACACTGTGCAGATGACCTGGTTATTCTGCAAACAGGGAATTTCGGGAACACACTATGCGAAAGAATTCAAGTAGCTCTCAAAATTATAGAACAGTGCTACAAGAACTATTCACTGTTTATCAATCCCAAGAAGATAAAAATGAGACCCTCGAGCATATCCTCTACGATTGCCCGACGCTGTCATTTATTAGAAGATTTATGTTCGGCAAGTATCGGCTAACACCGGCCGTTATCAACTACATTAAATATGTAGGCTGACTCACGAGCTAGGAGGTGCCTATTGTCTTAGAAGGATGCACAAAAGGCCTAGTCAGGCCTAGGTGCCATGGGGTAACTCACCCTCCACACGTTACAGATATAGATATGCATACAATTATTGTTAGTTTTTAAGTCACTTATATAACTATCTAACATATCTAAATATGTTTTAATTTGTGGATAGTTCACCTTAGTAATAGGTTTTTTAATATCCAAATCTTAATAAATACATAATTTAAAATTAACATAAAATTAACAGTGGTACCAATACCTTGAAACTGTTCTAATTTAATTTCTACACAGAATGATAAAGCGTCTGCCACACTTTTGTTAAATACTTGGGTGAATAAATTTGTGTTTATTATGTATAATATAAATGCTAATTTAGCATATACTTAGTTTCTAATGTTTACATATTACTGTCAATGATAAGAAACCATTTAATATAATTCTGAAAACTATATCAACATTTAGTTTAATACCGCTCTGTACTGTGTTTACACTTATCTATGAAATGTTCTTTTTAAGATTTTCTTTTTATACGCACCTTCCCTACAAGTGCAATTGGGCTAGCCCACAATCAAAGTATGTGTATTAATTATAATAATTATTAATATTATAAAATAATCACAAGGCAAACTGTCAAGTACAGGAAGTGTAATAAAAATAGGGTAGACGTGGTGACACTTTTGACCACATGATTGCGTTTACTTACCTTTTTACCTGCGTAGAATCAATGCATTGTAAATTAATATTTTGTAATAAAAAATAAAATGAAAATTTACCAGAAACAACATGAAAAATGTTAATAAAACAAAACTTGTACCGAAACAAATTAAAAATTTAAAATTAAATTGCTTACCATGATATTTTGCTCTTTGTTTAGTTTTAATTAGAGCGATATCATTTTGAACGGTATCAGTGTTCCAGTTTTCGTGTGGAATCCATTTTGCTACCTGCAAATCTTGATAAGGTGGTGCACAACCAAAATCATTACAGTCAATGTCTGTACGAGTATCGTATTCTCCAACGCGGACGAAGGAACTAAAAAACATAAATTATATAATTGGAGTTAAAATTTTTACCTAAGTTACCAGTTACCATTAGAATTGTTCGAGGTAATTTTTGATACACTGTGTAATGAAAGAGTATAGTTAACACAAGAGATCGCACTTAAATGTCAATACTGCCGTGTGAAGGTAAAGGGCAGTAAGTAACATTTTAGTCAAAAATGAGATATTAATGTTTCATACCTAAGCAGTAACTGCCCTAACTTCTGATAGGGTTTGGTGCACATATATAAATAAACTTAGGCCAGAATTGAAAAGGCAAATCGCAGTAACTGCGTAATTGCGTAGAACAAAAAACACTAAATTGGCAATAACTCAAAATCATTTTTTTGCACTTACTGCTCTTTACCTTCTCACGGCAGAATAGATCTGAAAGTCTGTGACCTTGAAAATTCAAAATATTTTACGCGGGTAAAATGTATCTAATCTAATATAACCTAGTTTTCTGATAATTTCTCTTTTTAGTTTAAACATTTATTTATAATCGATTTTTGTTATAGATCTGTATTTTTTACACTAATCAATTTTCTAGATGCCATTTTTCTCATGTGACAGCAACCAATGTTCTGATTGGTGACGCCAGACTTGTCAAAAATACTCCAGACCAATAGGGAGGAGGCATCGAGATTAACATTATTTTAAAAACCAAAAAAACATACATTTGGTAATGTCACTAATTTTGTCTTCAAGTTGCTTAAAACCTGAATAGTGTTTACTTTTAGATGTATTTTTTCTCATGTGTCAGCAACCGACGTGGTGATTGTTGACCCCAGACTTGTCAAAAATACCCCAGACCAATAGGGAACCGGTACCGAAGTCATTGAGATTTGAGCACTGATCTGTATTATTTTACTGGATAGGATATAGGCTATATTTAACATACTAAAAAACCGTTCCACCAAGGAGACCGGAAGTGCAACATTGCTGGCCGATTTGGGCAAATTATGGTGGGTTCACAGAACTGAAATTTGGGATAATTTGACATACCTAACCTATAATATGATTAGTTTTTCTTCTTATTCTTCTTCTATTCCTTTTGCGGGCGATGTCCTTCGGGAAAATTCACCCATGATTTGATTTTTATGAAAGAAAATATAAAAATGGAAACGTGAAGCATATTGTGTCTTCAGGAATGAACGTTTATTGTTTATTTCATACTCTTTTTACTTTGTTTTCCACAATAAAAACATCTCATCGTAGCTTGTTGACACAATTAAATGACAAATGGAAATAGAGTTTACGTTAAATAACATCCGGTCAGCCATATTATTTGCCCAAATCGGCCAATTTTTCGGAACGCTTTTTAGGGGGCTATATCCTATCCAGTAAAATAATACAGATCAGTGGATTTGAGCCAGAATTTAACAATGGAAATATAGGGAGTGACAGGCCTGTGGTGTAACATTACTTGCTTATTCGACGATGCCGATTTCATAATAATTATGGGTGATTTTAATACAGGAACAATTCAATGAGAGATGAAAAAGGAAATATCGAGCTCACGATTTAATTTTGTAAAAAACGTCAAATACATGTATATGCTAATCCAGTGGTCGGCAAACCTCGGCTCGCGAGCCGCATGCGTCTCTTTAGCCTCTTGAGTGTGGCTCTTCCACAAACTACAACGTAAGGGCTCGCACATTAGAGTGCAATTGAAACTTTGTAGTGGCTGGCTTTTCTTATTTATATTTTTTCAAATTTAGTTGTTGTTTATGTGTCTTTATCTTTAGGCGAATACTCTGAAGCGACTTATTAAAAAAATATTTCCAGATAGATAAAACATCAACGAGTATCGCTTTCCGGAGAATTTGAGATGGTTCGGAGAATTTGGCGGAGAATAAAATTTTGCGGAGAATTTGCGTTGACAGTTGACTTGTGACTGGCGAATTTTTGTCAGTGGAGAATCTCGTATGTTTTCGCACTTTTCGCGTCGAACTTATATATATTTTAAAGGTTTTTGGTTAATTATTTTGAATAACTCATAAACTAGAGAACAACTTTATTCTAGAATACAGGTTACAAAATAAGAACACAATATCAACATACAAATTGATTTTGACAATATTATAAAAGAATTTGCAGCAGCCAAATCCAGAATAAAACCTAGTTTCAAAAGGAAAGACTTGTATTTCGTGCAAAACTTTTTAATTAATAAATGCAAAGCGCTTTCGGCATTGTGCCATCATCAAAGCTTATCTACAAAAATTGTTGATGTAAACTTACAATTTATAAATATGTGTCAATATAAAATCTGAGTAAGAATTTAAAGTCAAAAGTTATCTATTTTGAATCTATACTACGTGCACACAGCTGTCAACCTTTTTTGGTTATTTTAATAAAACCTATTTAATTTTGGGATAATTGAATGTTTTATTTGTTTACTGTTTGGTTAGTTTTTTCGTTTGTAAGAATATAATATTGGTTTTCGAAATATATGTTTTATTACAAAATTAAAATAAAATGTGGTTTCGCAATTCGCTCAAATGTTAAACGACTACAAGAATATTACAGCAAACCAGGAAATTTAAAAAACATACGTAACAGCTTAAAGTTGTTATTCTTCAAAATATTATTTATATAAGTACTACATATATTTAAAGGGCGCCAAAATATTTCTGACACGCGGGCGGCGATAACCCTTGCGGGGGCCCTGCCTGTGGAAATTTATAAAATTTCTTTACTATCGAATCAAATCCATTTTTCCAAAGTGATGTGTTTGTACATCCACGGATGTAACAAATTTGTTCGATAATGATATTACGAAAATAATTTGACTTTATTTAATTAATAATTACTAAACAATAAATGACGTATAAAACATTTATAAATCCCCCACAAAGTTCACATTTTTGTCACCAGTTTGCGTTAAAGTTATAACGCACGGTCCCTATGCTAGTAGAAAAATGCAAATTCACATTTTATAAAGTATTATATCGCAGACCTGTGTAATTAATAAAAAAATGTTTAAAGCAAATCCTGCATTTCTTCTCTGATAAAAATTATACATACATGCTAACACCGTTTTCTCCACAATGAGCTGCAGTAAGAACGTAATTTTCATGTATCAATACACCTCCGCAGACCAAACCTCGGAGTTCACCTTTTACAGCTCCAATTCGAACCATCCAAGGAAATTGTCCTAAGGAGGCATCATCGCCCCCGAAAATTCTCATTTCAAGTTCTTTATTTTTGCCGCATTCGTGCGAAAGGAGTTTCCAGTTTCGATGTTGATCGACTTCATGGTTGATTGGCTCGACAACATTGTGGCGTCTAATGCGGGCATGAGCAACATGAACTAATAAAAAGAATTAAATGTTAGTATACTATGCAACGATAAATTTTTTTTACACACTTTAGACCTCCCGTGCTACACCCTAATCCGTCTGTAGTCTGCAGCACTACAGTCTGCGGCTTATTGTACCACCATTTGAAGGTCCTACTACTTTCCTATTCACACCCTCATTCATTCTTATTCATTCCACGTCGGTCGATGGTTAAACGCTAGTCGGATGAATCCCATGGTGACACGGCCCATGGTGGAACCTTCCAGCGGTCACTCATCCATGACGTGACCGGAGAGATAACTGCTTAACTGTTGCAAGTAAGTGGATGCACACTAAGCTCGCGGCTAGCCTCTCCGGCTATGCAACGATCATGTAATGATGGTTATTAATACACGAGCATTAACCGGGATACGAAACGAGCCGAAGACGAGTTTCGTATGATTTATGCAAGTGTATTAATAACCATTACATGAGAGTTGCATACACCCGATAAACAATCAAGAACTATAAAAAATATTATATTTGTATTGAACATAATAACAGTAATTACTCGTATTTCTATAAAAAATTACACAACATTGTACAGTAAACGCCAAATCTAAAGAACCAGCGCAAATGCTCAAGTTCGTTTACTTAAAAATCGCCACGCTCATTCACAATTTGAACCTTGTCCTTGCTTACGGTCAGTAGCGTAACGACTAGATCAGTGGTCGCCAACCTCTCAATGTGTTGAGCTACTTTGTTAATTTTGGAATAAACAGCGAGCTACCCACACGGAAGCCACGTAACGCAACGTAAATGAAGTTAATTTATCATTATATGTATTTATTTTACTATTTAACTGATAATACATAATACATAGGTACTAATAATAAACTAATAACAAAATAACTAATATTACTAGTACGTACTTGTTCATAGCTACATTCCTACCTACAAAACGAAGGTGTTTGAAAAATAAACACAAACTTTTATCCAGCCACAACGGCATGTCACGTAAGATTTAAAAATAGTTAATAATAACAACAAAGAAGTAACGCACTATCATGAACATAAACATTGAAAAATCAAAAAGCACGTTCATAGAGAAGGCTGACACTCAGACTCATCGATAACTTTTTTAATGAAACGGATTATGGGCATATAAGTGCTTTATTATAATACGGGTGCAGAAAAAAATAATAATAAAACCATTTGTTTTTCGAAACGTGGTAATAAAATTATTGAAAACGAAAATTGTTATTAACATTCTTTTCTAAATCCATTTATATATTTGAAAAGATCATAAAAAAAACCGAATTAAAAATTTACCTACATTTTATTAGTTCTATACAATTTTACCACTCAAATTTTTAATTTGAATTGAAGTGTTCTGGAATTTATTAATTAGAAATGAAACATTATAAATTTTTCATTCTAAACGTATACAGGGTGTTTCTTAAAGCTGTTTTCGCGTTTCACTATTTTAGCATTATTAATGTATCTTAGTTATTTATCATCAGTATAATTTAATTTTATGCTGAAGTATTCAAAAGAAACACCCTAATAATTTCTAGTCTTTTAATTTTTTGTTACACATAATTTTTTAAATAAAAATTAAATTTTATCAATTTGCAGATATCAATTTTTGAAAAACTGGAGTTTTCTATTTTTTTTACATTTTTTTTTCTTTCTATTAACAATAATATTTTTATTTCGAACTCGTGAAAATATTTCCCTCTTTATCACATACCTGGAACCAACGGTAGCTTGGGTTAGCAAAGATAAAGTGATTCGGCCAGGGTCTAACTCGCTCTTTTGATTGTAAAAATTTAATATATTTTTTATTTTTTACGTGTTGTGTAACTAAGTATGAAAGAAAAGTCATACAGTTACTTGCAAAAGGTTAGACTATTTTTATTATACATTTTACTAAAGAAAAATAAATATAATTTGATTGTTATGCGAATATCATTTTTATTTTTATTGATTAATTTCCAAATTATATCGGAGTCAACGACGAGAAAAACTTCGCTTAAATGACGCACTTGTGGCTGGGATGGTTAGTACTAATTCACACAACTTGACGATTATATAAACCAGTTGTTATAAGAAAATTTAACACATTGATGGGAGTCTTTTTATCACTCATTTCAGTTGTTTCATAAACAACACTTAACTGGGACTTTAATGCTGGAATATCGAAAAAAATCCATAATTTAATTTTAGTGAATTAAAAGCTTCCGATGGAAATTTTGATGAATCGTTGTTACTAATATTAAAATTAAACAATTCAACAAATTTTAATTCGTTAAAGTTTTGAAATCGAGAGTTCATTTGTTGTAGAATATTATCAAAAATTTCGGCGTATAATCGACGATAGGAGGTCTCTCTGTCGCCGACATTATCAATTCTAATTCTCTTTCTTTTAGGTTCTAAGACAATGTTTTGAGTCTTATTCCAAAAGTGTTCATGCTGATCTCGTTTTTTATTCATTTTATTTTTAAAATTATTAATTTGTTTAATGCAAAAGCCAATGTCATTTGACTTTGTCTGTAAATATTATTAGAAGTAACTTTTATTTAAAAAATGTTCTTCTCCAAACATAAATAATAGATATGTTCCATAAAATATAAAAATGGCCTCCCATAAAGTACCCCCCCAGATGTTCCGCCTTCGTCCACAATCTAATCATTTTACCTCAGGCCGAAATAAAACTTAAGTTTAAAATTCGAGAAACGCTAAAATGGTGGTTCCCACCTTATCGAGACTGAGGCCCACAAGGGTAAACTCGTAGAGTAACAAAAACGAGAAATGATTTAACTTGGAACGAAATACCGAAAGCGGATATAAGTAATATTAGCACGTTGAATTTTTTGGTTTGTGAAGCATTGGCATTACTTAGGTTAAACCATGTGATGATATTCACAAGCCTTGATTTTTAAAACCCTTCTATATTGCCTTTTGATTAGGGTTTAAAAATTTGTTCGAGCAATTTATCCAATAATAATTGGCTCCTTTACCTCTTAAGCCTGCTCATATAAAATATTTGGACTTCTTACTTCGCCTATTTATATTCTATTAATAAAGGATAGAAGGATGAGTATTGCAACTATGTTAAAAGAAATAAATTGGCTTTCAGTTCAGAATTATGTTTAGTACATGACTGATATTTATTTATAAAATAAAAATGACAGTACCATCGCATCAGATCTATTAGAAAAAATTGAATATAATTCGCAATATCACAACTATAATACAAGAAACCAATCTTACTTTCATGTACGGCAAGCCATCACTAAAAGTTCCCAAAATACAATTTTTACTTTCCTATCTGTATACAGATATAAGGAAAGTATAGGAATCATGATTTTTTTCGACCTCGAGTTTTTGACGGATTTTTACGTTTTGAGGTCCCCTGAATCCGTTTTGACTATTTTCGCGATGGCGTGCGTGCGTGCGTGCGTGTGTGTGTGTGTGTGTGTGTGTGTGTGTGTGTGTGTGTGTGTGTGTGTGTGTGTGTGTGTGTGTGTGTGTGTGTGTGTGTGTGTGTGTGTGTGTGTGTGTGTGTGTGTGTGTGAGTGTGTGTGTGTGTGTGTGTGTGTGTGTGTGTGTGTGTGTGTGTGTGTGTGTGTGTGTGTGTGTGTGTGTGTGTGTGTGTGTGTGTGTGTGTGTGTGTGTGTGTGTGTGTGTGTGTGTGTGTGTGTGTGTGTGTGTGTGTGTGTGTGTGTGTGTGTGTGTGTGTGTGTGTGTGTGTGTGTGTGTGTGTGTGTGTGTGTGTGTGTGTGTGTGTGTGTGTGTGTGTGTGTGTGTGTGTGTGTGTGTGTGTGTGTGTGTGTGTGTGTGTGTGTGTGTGTGTGTGTGTGTGTGTGTGTGTGTGTGTGTGTGTGTGTGTGTGTGTGTGTGTGTGTGTGTGTGTGTGTGTGTGTGTGTGTGTGTGTGTGTGTGTGTGTGTGTGTGTGTGTGTGTGTGTGTGTGTGTGTGTGTGTCTGTGTGTGTGTGTGTCTGTGTGTGTGTCTGTGTGTGTGTCTGTGTGTGTGTCTGTGTGTGTGTCTGTGTGTGTGTCTGTGTGTGTGTCTGTGTGTGTGTGTCTGTGTGTCTGTGTGTGTGTGTCTGTGTGTGTGTCTGTGTGTGTGTCTGTGTGTGTGTCTGTGTGTGTGTCTGTGTGTGTGTCTGTGTGTGTGTCTGTGTGTGTGTCTGTGTGTGTGTCTGTGTGTGTGTCTGTGTGTGTGTCTGTGTGTGTGTCTGTGTGTGTGTCTGTGTGTGTGTCTGTGTGTGTGTCTGTGTGTGTGTCTGTGTGTGTGTCTGTGTGTGTGTCTGTGTGTGTGTCTGTGTGTGTGTCTGTGTGTGTGTCTGTGTGTGTGTCTGTGTGTGTGTCTGTGTGTGTGTCTGTGTGTGTGTCTGTGTGTGTGACTGTGTGTGTGTCTGTGTGTGTGTCTGTGTGT